TTATTTATTATTATTATTATTATTATTATTATTATTATTATTATTATTATTATTATTATCATCATCTCCCTGTGTGCTCTTTACACCTCTTGCACGAGTGTGATCTTAAGGACATGCACGTCACGTGTCATTGGAAATGCTGAATTGAGCCACTGGAGTGTCTGTCCCATACAGGAAACAAGCAGGTCTCCACGTCAATAACACTTTTATTCTTACGGGATACGAGACCGACAGGTACTTCCACCTACGTGTTTTATTTAGATTCGCAAGGATAAGGGCTGCTTTCACAAGGGAATAAACTTCTCCCAGCCTCCCTTTCGACAGCCGTGCATGCGCACTGTGGCCAGTCTGGCCTGAAGATGGCGGATCCTAATGTTGTGGGCAGTGGATCGTTGGGCTCCGTGACGGTAAGTATAATAAATTATGCGAGTAGGACTTCATTTAAAAAGAAAAATCGTGAGAAATGCTTGTAATATGTGAGCCTGGACCGTTTACACTACAGCTTGGAATCGCTTTGCTCTGGACGGGGAGCTTAGCTCAGCGCTCGCGCGCTGGGTCGCCGTTGTTAGCATTTCTGTATGTCCCACCTACTAGCTGCGATGATTGGCGGAGGCATGGAAAGCTTCTCACTCATTGGCTGCTTTTTGTAAGATTTGTTTCTAACGCTGCTAGAAATGTAAAAAAAAAAGTTTGTGAAAATGAAACATAGAACCGTACTTTTTTTGTGTGAATACAAGTAAAATTTGTATGCAGTAATGCAACAGTACTTTTGCTAGCCTGAACATGTAATTGTATGAGATATCCCAGGGTTAAAGCGGAAATATGATTTCAAATGAGAATCTATATGATTGTCCACATACAGTGGAAAATTTCCGTTGGCCTCAGTGAAACAACAATAATCACAACACTGTATTAACAGAGTACATTCCGTGGATTTTACAGATGTGCACAGTGTTATAATACATGACAAAAACATAAGATTCAAGCTGCAGGCATGTACTGTATCGCCAGCAGCCATATCACCCTGCAACTCACAACTGGCAACCCACTGAAGCTAAGCAGGTGTGAGCCTGGTCAGTACCTGGATGGGAGACCTCCTGGGAAAAACTAAGTTTGCTGCTGGAAGAGGTGTTAGTGGGGCCAGCAGGGGGCGCTCACCCTGTGGTCCATGTGGGTCCTAATGCCCCAGTATAGTGATGGGGACACTATACTGTAAACAGGCGCCGTCCTTCGGATGAGACGTAAAACCGAGGTCCTGACTCTCTGTGGTCATTAAAAATCCCAGGGTGCTTCTCGAGTCCCCATTACCTGTAAAGCGCTTTGAGTGGAGTGTTATTATTACATGCTGTCAATGCAATGCTGTGATGGGATTAATGAGATTTAAAAGAGTAAGAGCACTCAGAATGAATGACTTAAATGTGTCTTGATACTCTAGAATGTCTTCCAAATGCTAATTTTTCAAATTGTAAATGTAGTGGATCTGAGGTATCATTTACTATTAACATTGCTTTCCTGTAAACACTTCTGGTATACATGTGGTTCAGCGTGGTCTGTTTCTGACCATTGATTTTGCTGCCCATGTTTATAATCCTGTTTATTAACAAGTGGAGATGATACGAGAGAGCACACTCTACCAGCTCTAGAGCGAGTCTGTTTACAGAAGAGCTCCTGAACCTTCTCATGAGAAGTCAGGGCCTTTTTAAAAACATACGCCGTGCTGTCTGAGAGGTTTAGTTTACCAACAATGTATGTACCCAGATATTTAAAATAAGGGTCTGTCTCCACATGCCGGCCATTTAAGTGTGGATGGCAGGATTCTTCCGGAGTGTAGCATTTTGCAATTAAGAATTGCAAGTTAATAATAATAATAATAATAATAATAATAATAATTAATAATTGCTTACACTTATATAGCGCTTTTTCTGGACACTCCACTCAAAGTGCTTTACAGGTAACGGGGACTCCCCTCCACCACCACCAATGTGCAGCATCCACCTGGATGATGCGACGGCAGCCATAGTGCGCCAGAACGCTCACCACACATCAGCTATCAGTGGGGAGGAGAGCAGAGTAATGGAGCCAATTCATAGAGGGGGGGTGATTAGGAGGCCATCATGGGACAAGACCAGGGGGGGAGTTTAGCCAGGACACCGGGGTTACACCCCTACTCTTTTCGAGAAGCGCCCTGGGATTTTAAATGACCACAGAGAGTCAAGACCTCGGTTTTACGTCTCATCCGAAGGACGGCTCCTGTTTACAGTATAGCGTCCCCGTCACTATACTGCGGCATTAGGACCCACATGGACTGCAGGGTGAGCGCCCCCTGCTGGCCCCACTAACAAGTTGTTTTATTGAAATTGAAATGGAAAAAAACAGCTACATTAGAAGAAGATATTCTCATTTCAGATGTCACTCAATTATTTTCATTGACAGAAAAACTAACTTTAAAAAGAAGAATATAAATTGGGTATAATTTTACTGAGATTATTGTTTCTGTTTGTGGATGTGGGAGATTTTTGTGTATTTACAGAGCATGTGAGTTTCTCTCAGAGTTGAATAAAATGGTCTCGTGAGTTGGACCAGGGCCAGCCTGTACATCAGAGGAGTGTGAGTTTGGCCAAAATAAAAACGGTTCCCAAGATTAGCACAGCCAGGGAGCAATAGGTGTGATTTCTTCTTCACCAGTGAGTCGCAGGTGAGCATGAGTGAAGCCAGCTGTGTGGAGGTGTACCTGGTAATCAGCCAGTGCCCTGGAGCAGCTGGGAGACTGTGAGCATGGTTATTGTATACTCCTGCTCCAAGTGGGGCGTTCGGCCTCAGACAGGGTGACAGAAGTAAAGCGTGCAGGATCAGTGTCCTCAGTCCAGTTTGTGAATGATCCCCCATCTGTCTCCCCAGCGCTCCTCCGGGGGCAAGACCTCCACCAGCCCCGCGGAGAACTACTACCTCGCTCGGCGGCGCACCCTGCAGGTGGTGGTCAGCTCGCTGCTGACCGAGTCCGGGTTCGAAGCCGCAGAGAAGGCTGCTGTGGAGTCTTTGACGGAGATGATCCAGAGCTGTATGTAAATCAGGGAAACACCCTTCTGATTCTCCTTGTGCTTTTTACAACAAAACTCTTGTGGTTCTGTGTGAGGGAGCTGTTTATTTAAGCTCTGCACCCCAGGTCTGCCCAAGCATTGGGTTACATGCTTTTCTATGAGAGCTTGTTCAAACCCTGAAAATCCCTAGCTAAAATTACAAGTAAAGAAAATAGTACCCCTGAAAGATTAATTTGTTCTGCTTCTGGTAAATTCAGATGTGCAATGAGGGACAAGGGAAAACTTTTTTAGTTTGTTTTTCATTCTTGCTTGAAATTCCTAGTTGCCTTTCTTTAGCAGGGTGTGAGTGGAAATAGAGCTCTTCAGGATGAATGGTTGAAGAATGCTGGTGCCAGCGCTCTTCTTGGACTTTACTGCTGCAGGGGGAGCTGATGGGAGTGTCTCTCTCTCTGTCTCTGAGCAGATATCTCGGAAGTGGGCCGCTGTGCCAGGGCGTACTGCGAGCACACTGCCAGGACGCAGCCCACACTGTCGGATGTGGTGGTCACTCTTGTGGAAATGGGTAAGGCCCGGGGAAGGGGACAGACGCAGGTCAGGGGGGTGTAGAGGTAGTGACAATGGTTTTGCTCACCTGAAGAGACCCATTGGGGAGGGTGACTGGCTCCAGATTGATTGCTGACTCCTCCCTGACACTTTGTTCTCTAACCATTGTGAACTGCCTGGTGTTTTAACGGAACAAGTAATAGGTTTATTCCATGCTGAAAAAAAGAAGAAAGAGAACACAAC